ATATAATTAAATTTTTAAATTGAGAAAAAAGAAAATTTAAAAAATGACAAATTAAAGTAGTAAATTTTAAATAATAAAAATAATTAACAAATTAAAGCTTGAAATTGAAAAAAAATAGAAGAGAATTTAAAAAAAATGGTAAATAAAAAAATGACAAATTAAGATAGTAACTTTTAAATAATAAAAAATAATTAACAAAAACCACTAAAACAAAATGGGACAAAATCACAATATAATTAAGGTTTGAAATTGAAAAACAAAATTGTGTAGAAAAATTGAGGAGAATTTAATTTTAAATTAATTGGATGAGAATTAAAAAAAAGAAGACAAATTAAAGTAAGAAATTTTAAATAATAAAAATAATTAACAAAAAATGCTAAAACAAAATGAGACAAAATCAAATATAATTAAAGTTTGAAATTAAAAAAAAAAGTCAATTTTAAAAAAAATGACAAATTAAAGTAGTAAATCTTAAATAAAAAAATAATTAACTAAAAACACTAAAACAAAATAGGACCAAATCACAATACAATTAAAGTTTGAAATTGAAAAAAAAAGTATAAAAAATTTGAGGACCAAAGTGTTAAAAACATGACATGAATAGTGAAAGGAATAGTAATTTGTGAGTGTATGAATAGTGATTTGTGAGTGTGTAAATAGTGTTTGAAATAGTAAATAAATAGTAAAATCAACAGCTTTACTTTAGTTTTTAGTATAATATATATATATACACACACACACACACACATATTAATTGGATACCTGCATATGCACATGTAGCAGTACAATCACTATATATATAAGGTTAATGATTCCTATGGTATAATGTAAGTAGAAAGTTTTATTTTTAGTGATTAATATAAATCGAATCTATATATAATTAATTTATAATAAAACTAATGATATATATATATATATATATATCATTAAGAGTATATAGAATAAATAGAAAAATATACAAAAAAAACCCACATAAACTATAGAAATATATTGAATTCAATAGATTAAAATAAAAACTATAACAAAATTGATTCCGATAAATTTTAAATATATATATATATATATAGGCAAATAAAACTTGTGAATTTTTTTAACTCATTATTTTTTTTTCAAATTGAGACAAACTATCTAAAACATACTTTTAGCTCTCTCTCTCTCTCTCTCTCTCTCTCTCTCTCTCTCTCTCTCTCTCTCTCTCTATATATATATATATATATATATATATTAAAAAATAAAAAACTCATTTAAAAATATAAAAATAATTTATTGCATAAATTGTAATAGTATATTTTTTTAAAATAAAACATTGACTTTCTAAAATTTTATTCAAAAATTCATATATTAAAAAACCAAGTTTATTAACAAATAAAATTAAATTAAAAAATTAAAAAAAGTAATTTAATGAGAATTTTAATAAAAAAATACTTGAAAAAATAAATTAATATTGGTTTAGGGACATTGAAGGGACCAATAATATATATGTTTTCTTTCTTAGTGAAATAACCAACTATATATGATCACTTAACTTATACAAGCATTTGCTCGGAGGTCCTATTATGCTACGACAATATGTATGTTCTTTTAATTTTTTTTTTGTCTTTTGGTGATGCAATCCTAAAACACATCAAGATTTAAAATAATTAGCCAACATTTTTATTTTAATCATGAGATTGGTGACTAGACTTTTAAAACTATAAAATAAATTATAGGAAGAAAAAAATGGCGGTGGTCGTTCGTAATTGGCCTATGCGGCTAGTAGAGGTCGGCCGTGCTTAGGCCTCGTAAGCCAAGCTAGGGTTGCTTGGGCCCAAGCTCAGGGCGTTTGGGCCTACTTCTATAAGCCTCGACCACTATTCAACAAAAAAAAAAAAATCTACAACTTCCGATGAACTCTAACTCGTCGAAATCATCATAAAAAATTCACGAGTCTAGTTTCGGACCTTAAGAAACTCAATTCGACATTATTTTTTTTCCTAAACACCTCTAAATAATCAAAATAAAGTAAAAAAATACTTTTAAATTCTTAAAAATCATTTTAATGCACATTAAAACAAAAAGAAAATACATAATCAAATCATATTTTTTCCTTCTTTTTTGGCTCGAACTACCTCTTCCAATGATTTGATGGCCTCGAAATCATCATAGACAAACTCATTTTTCAAAAATATTAAGGACCAAAATGTTAAAAAAAATTATAATCTACGGTAAATGAACAATAACCACTCTTTAAATACCCTAGTTCTTTTAATTTTATTTATAATAAAACTTGTGAATTTTTTTAACTAATTGTTAATTTTTTTTTAAAAAAAGATTGAGTCAAATTATTTTTTAACCGATTATTATTTTTTAAAAAATTTAGTAAAATTATCTAAAACACACTTCTAGTCGTATCTTTCTCATCGAATTTATATATGCAAAAATGTGATTTTCATTGAAAAATCATAAAAATAATCAATCATATAAATTATAACAATGTATTTTTTAAAAATAAACAATCATGTTCTAAAATTTTATTTCAAAAGCCACACATAAAAAAATCAAATTTATTAACAAATAAAATCATATAAAAATTAATTGGATGAGAATTTTAATAACAAACAAAAAATTGAAGAAATAAATTTTAAATAATAAAAATAATATAATCGGATATATATGTTCGAAGCTAAAATTTTAAAAAATATCATATATATTCTATTACTATCAAACTATACGTAAAATAAAAAAATAATGATATATTTTTTTAAATATTTTCACACCTAATTTCATGGTAAAAAATATAAAAATAAATTATTTATATAGAAGGGGAACAATTTTTATCCGATATTTAAATAAATCATTTATTAATAAATATTATATTATTATACCAATATATTTAAAATAATATTTAACTAATACAATGTAATATTAATTTAATTATATGGTATAGTTATCAAATATATTATATTATTAAAATACTTATCAATTTTTATATATATATTCAAATTTGTAAAATAATATATTGTATAATAAATACAATATTCACAATCAAAATACAAATAACTCGTTTATAATAATTATTTGATATTCTTTTTGTAAAATATAATGATAATATATTATAATTATTAATTATTAATAATTTTATTATTTTTAAAAAATATTTCTAATAAATAAGGACCTAAATAATAAATTTGACCATATAATAATAGTCCTACAAATATATAAATTGGAAAAAGAAAAGAAAAGAGAAAGGAGGCTAGACATTAAAAAAAAACAAAAAAGCACTCGCATAAATACAATATTCACAATAAAAATACAAATAACTATTTTATAATAACTATAAAATATAATGATAATGCATTAAAATTATTAACTATAAATAATTTTATTGTTTAAACAAAATATATTTTTATTTTATAATAATTTTTTGTTATTTTTTTTGTAAAATCTAATGATAATGTATTATAATTAATAACTATAAATAATTTTATTATTTTAAAAAATATATTTATAATAAATAAGGACCTAAATAATATATTTAACCATATAATAATAGTCCAACAAATATAAAAACTGAAAAAGAAGAAAAAAAGGAGGTCAAACGTTAAAAAAAAAAAACAAAACAAAAAAGCACTCGCTATTTTTTGTAAAATATAATGATAATATATTATAATTATTAACTATAATAATAGTCTTACAAATATAGAAAGTGGGGAAAAAAAGGGAATGCTACAATGAAGTTCCAGCAGCCCAATCTCAAAAGAAAAAAAAAAGGAGGTTAGATGTTTTTCTATTTTTTAAAAAGGGGGATTGTCATAGATAAATGAAAATAGTAAAAAGAAAAAAAAGTTTTTAAACCAAATGGACTAATTAATTTATTTCTCGAAGAATTTTTTTTTGTTTTTCTATTTCTTAAAACAAAAAATAAAAATAGTAAAATAGTGAAAAAGATCAAAAAATTAGTTTTCAAACCAAATGGACTAATTAATTTATCTCAAAAAAAGAAGGACTAAGAAGCAATCAAATAAATGTATGAATAAGGACAATAAGTCTAAAGCTACACTGAGTGAATGAAGAGTCTAACCCTCACTTCTTTTATTTATTTATTTTTTTAATATATCTCACCCAATAGCAATTTTATGTGATAAACGATGACAAAAATGATAGTTCGAATAATAGTTCTTAAAAATGTAAAATGACAAATGTTTTGTGGATAAAAAAAGGTATAAAATAACTATACATACATAGTGAAATGATGGAAATGAAGAAACAAAAAGAGATAATATGTTTACTGAGTAAATTATAAATTAGTCTTTCTATTTTTTGAAAATGAATCAAATAATTTTTTTGTTTCAAAAACTCATTAATCCTTATATTTTTAAATCCATTTTCAACTTATTTCTTTCCAATTTCTTTTTATTTTTTTTAAAAATAAAAAAGGTAAAAATATGAAAGGATTGAAAATATTTATTTTAAAAAATATATTATTAAATTAATTATGGTCAACCGTGTTAATGAAAGGGATTAATTAATTATTATTTTTTCAATAAAAAGAATTATTTAATTTGTTTTTTAAAAATGAAAGACTAATTTATAATTTACTCTATGTTTACTTTGGTTATAAAATGTATGTTTTGTTAAATTATCAATTACAAGGATAAAAATAGAAGATTGAGGAATCTATAACAACAAAAATATAGTTTACTGGCTGTCCAAATACATGTATCCCCTCTCTTCCCTGTAAATCAAATCCGGACATCGTCCGGGCGCGACGAGCCCTGTAGTAAAAACCAAAACATAAACACACGAGATCTCAACTTTCTCAGCTTCTTCATTTCCAGATCTCAAATATTTGTCATTTCTCTCTCTAATCAAATAAAGAAGGTAATAAACTCTCTCTAATCAAATCATTTATCCATTTCACGTCAACGATACCATCCTCTTCTTGGATCTGCTTTAATTTTGTGATTTGAACGTTGAAATTCAGTAACCCTAACTATCCATTCTCTTTTGTAGAATTAGAAATGGCAGCGGGTGGTTTTGTTAGCCGTGCATTTGAATCGATGCTAAAGGAATGTTCGAGCAAGAAGTTCCCCGATCTTCAAAAAGCTATTCAATCTTATTTAGGTTAGTTTTTTTTCCTCCCTGGATCTCTAAATGTGACTGACTAGCAATCAGACTTCACTTGGATGGATTCAATTTTCACTGCCTTGTTCAGCTCATTTTGTTTTTGTGTTTCTTCAGATAATGCGAAAGAGGTGACTCAGCAGCCTAAACCTAGTGAGACGAATCTGGCAGCATTGTCTGCTGGAGACGGGAGGTTTGTATCTGAAAATTTTATTCATTATGTAATGCTCTTTTGTTTGAATTTGGTTTTTCAGATTTGGTTGCTACTCTTTTCATACGACGTGTTCCCCTATCCCGTGTTTATGTTTGCAAAATTTCATGTCATTTTCTGTTGTTGCCATGCTTTGTCAAGTAAACTCGTTAAATATTTGATTTAAGACGAATGATTGTTGTTTGAGTCTAATCAGATTGTGCTGCTGAGCTCAGTGGTTGTCAGATTGAACATGTTCAGATGGTAATTGGATTATTCTAGGGGAAACTAACAAACCAGAATGATTTGAACATAAACACGAGTAAGTCTTAAAATTGACATAGATGTCCTCTTACCATTTCCTTTTTGTTTGCAGTTCAATTGATTCTGAGGGTGGAGCTACAAAATGTGGAACAGAAACAGAATCAGATCAATCAGACGCAGTTCCTCATACTTCTGAAGAGGCACAGGATGCAAATAAAAAGCGGGCATCAGTCGAAACCTTACAGCTGTCTTGGCAAATGCTGGGTACACCTTAGAAGGAGCTGAAGCAGAGCTTGTTTTAAATCCATTACGTTTGGCATTTGAGACGAAGAATTTGAAAATCTTAGAACCTGCTTTGGATTGTCTTCATGTAAGTAACTTACTTTGTTATTTTGTACTTTTGGATTGTTTGCTCTTTGAACTTTGGCCTTTAGCAGGATCTTCATGTTGTGAAAGGATCCCAACAACCCTTTAAACCTTGCTATCTAGAAGAAATAATTGCACGTATCATAGTTTCATGGTGACAGATAACTTATTTTATACTTATCCAAGCGCAGAAACTCATTGCATATGATCATTTAGAAGGAGATCCTGGTTCGGATGGTGGTAAAAATGTCCCACTCTTTACAGACATTCTGAACATGGTTTGCAGTTGTATTGATAATTCATCACCTGATAGGTGCGTACACTTAAATGCATCTTTAGTTTAATTTTATACATGTTCCTTCACATGGCTGCTAACTTTTGATGACTGCATGCAGTACAAGTCTCCAAGTGTTAAAGGTACTTCTGACAGCCGTAGCATCCACAAAGTTTCGAGGTATATTGTCTAGAATAAAATGGCAGAATTATTTTTAGCATTTTGCTTTACTTGGTTAAAGGGACTTGGCTTTTGCTTTGCTGTATATTTTAGTATCTAGCTTTATAAAGATTTAGCATGCAGGAGAAGCTGTGATGTACTATGTGTGGGCTAGGCTATGGATGAATTAGGAATATGAGGTTTGTAACTAGTGACAAATGTGTTTAGCATTTGGGGTTTGAAAATGGTAGGAGAATAATGCAATTTGGTTAGGAAATGTCAATGGCTTGAAGGGTATGAAGCTGTTTGAAGAATACTGGATAGCTAATTGTTAGGGGGAAGGATGTTTCATGGATATTGAGATTTTTCCCTAAAAAAAAATAATGGAGATTTGATTTTCCTTGATGATGAAAATAATGGGAAAAAACGAACGAGTCTGGTTGTCTAACTTCTGATGAGACTTGGTTTCCTAAAATAACAACAATTAGTGAATTCTCACTTAAAATAAGTAAAGACTAAACTAAAGTTTGAATAACACATAAGACCTAAGATCCTTGGACCAGCAAAGTTCTGTTCTTACAGAACTAGAAAATTACCAGTGTAAGCCTAATCTGATGCAAATATGGGAAAATACAGACTAAAGGACAAAATGAGTGCAGAGGCAGAGTTATTCTATGATCAAAATGCCTCGTTTGCTGTTTATTGTACAGAGCTCTACCCTAGACTTCCAAATTGGATGCCCCATATCCCAGCAGGCAGTAGGTGCAGCATCAGGGGGAGCCTTCACATGAGGTGATGGCATATAAGATGCGAATTGCTGCTTTATGGCACGCTTTGAATGGTGTAGTTAATTGTTTGGGCTAACTAATGTTTGGAATTATTATTTATGCTTTTACTGCATCTTAAGTTGTCGAAAAACAATATCTGTTAAATTATTCGCATTCATGCTACTTTATTTGCATTGAAATGTACTTCTGTCTTTTTTGTTTTTCGTTTAAACTATTCATGTTCTGAATTAACTGAACCATATGCTGTTGAAACACCTGTTTTAAATGCAGTACATGGGGAGCCTTTGTTGGGAGTCATCAGAATATGCTACAACATTGCTTTGCACAGGTTCTTATTTTGCTTTTATCAGAATGGTACTATGATATTCACTTGGTGTGGCGCTTACGATTTCTTGTTGGTTGTGAAGCAAGAGCCCTATAAATCAAGCAACATCAAAGGCAATGTTAACACAGATGATCAGCATTATATTCAGGAGAATGGAAACTGATTCTGTATGGATTTAAGCCTGTTGTTTTAAATGTCTTTTTTTCTGCTATCTGTTGGAAAAGAAACGAATACCTGGCTGCTCCTCTTTAATAACTATACGCATCTCTGACAGCAAGCTCAGGTTTCTACTTCACTTGGTTCTACTGGGAATGAGGAGGCTGCTTCGGCAGAGAAATCAGATGTAAGTGTTGAAGAAACTCCAAATGCTGACCAAAATGAGGAAGGGATCACTTTGGGGGATGCACTTAATCAGATCAAAGGGGCTTCTCTTGCATCTGTTGAGGAACTCCATAATCTTGCAGGCGGTGCTGATATTAAGGTTTATATCTCATATATTCTATTACTGTTCTTCTATCTTATGCCTCACTTTGTTGTCTATGATAACCTTTGCATGATTACTTCCTCTTCCTGCTGATGGAATTATTTCCATGTAAAAAGAGATATTAAAACCACAGACAACAATATGTAATTCTTTTGTTCCTACAGTAGCATGTTTCCACTCTGAGTCGTATCTTTTTGCGCGGAAACAGCATAACCTTATTATAGGATTATTTGACAAAAAAGCATCACTCAAGCATGGTTATTTCTTGAATGTTAGTATTTTGGCACTGCCGTGCGTGGCTGTTGCTGCAGTTTATTTTTATGATACTTCACCTTTTGAATTGTACTGGTACTAAGAAGAAAATGTCATATGTTGTAAAGGGTCTGGAGGCTGTTCTTGACAAAGCTGTGCATACTGAAGATGGTAAAAAGACTACAAGGTATGGATATGAAAATATACACTATATTGCTTTCTGTTATCTCTCTGTCATGATGATAATTGTTGTGCAAGTTTTGGTTGCTTCTAACTGTAATCTTTAGGGGGATTGACCTGGAGACCATGGACATTGGACAACGGGATGCTTTGTTGGTCTTCCGCACCCTTTGTAAGGTGAGTGTTTTTTTTTCTTTTTTCTTTTTTCTTTTTGTTTTCAGTATTCTACACCCTTCAGTTAGCTTTTTTGTAGCCTTCTTTATAATTTATAAGTACAATGTCTGCAGATGGGTATGAAGGAGGATAATGATGAAGTCACCACCAAAACAAGGATCTTGTCTCTAGAGCTTCTGCAGGTTAATTTTATGGATTATAATTAAGAGTCTTTGTCATGTTTTGATTGATGGTCTAAAAAGCATTAGAATTATTGTAATCTGTAAATTTGCAAGCTGATTTCTTGTTTGATGAAGTTTTGGACCTTTCTTTCAGTAAAGTTTGGATGTTTATATAAAAAATTTTGACATGCTGCTGCAGGGTTTATTGGAAGGTGTTAGCCATTCATTTACAAAGAACTTCCATTTTATTGACTCAGTAAAAGCATATCTTTCCTATGCTCTGTTGCGTGCTTCAGTTTCACAATCTTCAATCATATTTCAGGTTCGAAAAAATCATCATCCCTTTCTTCCTGCATCCATTTTTAGAAGAATCTGCTGTTAAGTTGACTTTCTTTTGATCATGGTTCTCTCATGGCAGTATGCAACTGGAATCTTCTCCGTGCTTTTGTTGCGGTTCAGGGAAAGTCTTAAAGTATGTTTGAATTCTTTATTACTTGTTATTGCCACCTTTTATGATATGAAATTGTTTACTTTGATATTTTAACTCCATATTTTATACCACTACTTTTCTCTGTTTTCATAAGTTGTGCCTGCCAAATCTTTTCAGGGTGAAGTTGGTGTATTCTTTCCCTTGATAGTTCTACGATCATTGGATGGTGCAGAGTGTCCTGTTAACCAAAAAATGAGTGTTCTTCGGTAATAATGTTTTTTCTAATTGATTGGATCTTGCAATTACTTAACACATGTTGCAATTAGTTATATTGTTTGGCTTTGACATTTTGTTCATTGTTATATTATTAAGCTCATTTTCCTATTTTATCTTCTGATCCAGTGCAGTTTTGCAGGATGCTTGAAAAAGTTTGTAAGGATCCTCAAATGCTTGTTGATGTATACGTGAATTATGACTGTGATCTTGAGGCACCAAACCTGTTTGAACGCATGGTATATATACCCATTTGATATTATTTCATTTGCAATGTACTGTTTGCATTTGTATTGCTTAAGACTTTCTTTCATGTACGTAAACACTTCTTTGTTGACTCATGGCTTATCATGTAGGTTACTACACTATCTAAACTATCTCAAGGGACTCAAAATGCAGATCCAAATTCTGCTGCTGTGTCCCAAACTACTTCAATTAAAGGTTCATCACTTCAGGTAGGTTTGTCTTTCCCTTTCTTTGAATTAGCTAGTTAATCAACTTTTCTCTTCTGCTACCTTTTTACACTGCTATGTTAGCAAAAGATGCCATACCAAATCTTTCTTCTTTGGCCTTTCCAGTGTCTTGTGAATGTGCTCAAATCCTTGCTTGATTGGGAGAGATCATGCAGAGAATTGGAAAAGAAGAGTAAAAACACTCAAACTCTTGAAGAAGAGGTTTCAGCTAGAGAAAATGCAGAGGTAAAAGGCAGGGAAGATGTGCCCAATAACTTTGAGAAAGCTAAGGCTCATAAATCTACAGTGGAAGCTGCCATCTCAGAGGTGAGAGTAACCTTTAGTTATTGTTACAACTTGACACACAGGATTGATGTGAGACATAGAATTATGGATTATCTTTGTTAAGTTGCTCATGGTACAGTGAGGGTTGATTGGTTGTTTTAATATTTTGCAGTTCAATAGGCATCCAGTGATGGGCTTAGAGTCTATGATATCAAACAAGTTGGTGGAAAATAATCCTGCTTCAGTTGCTCAATTTCTGAGAAATACTCCTAGTTTGAACAAGGTGGAATATTTATTCTCTATTGCTTTCTATATTGTTTTCGGTTCCTAAAATCATTTATAAATTTGCAGGCCATGATTGGCGATTATTTGGGCCAACATCAAGATTTTCCCCTTGCTGTCATGCATGCTTATGTAGATTCCATGAAGTTTTCAGAAATGAAGTTTGATACAGCAATTCGTGAGTTTCTGAAAGGATTTCGACTTCCAGGGGAAGCTCAAAAGATAGATCGTATCATGGAAAAGTTTGCAGAGAGGTAAGAGATATTTATATTTGTTTTACCTATCACGTTAAAAATTGCATGTGAATCCATGCGTGTCAGATCATGCTGTCAATGTGCTGAAATTTTCTTTCCTTCTTTCTTTATTTTATTGCTGCCCAAGCCATGCTATGAAGTTGCATATCTGTTACATTTTCTAGTCTCATTTTACTTAAGTGGCTCGCTCATGTCATCATTTGGGTTTAGGCTTTCCATTTGTTGAAGATACATCCCATGCTATGATTCAGCTCTACAAGAATAATTTTTTTAAAGGAAAAGTTTCCTTTCCCCTTCAATGTGTGAAAACAAAAATTATGTCTTGAGTTTTCTGTTTTTCTCTTCTTTGCATTATCTGTATGTAGGCTTAAGGCTGCAGCAACCGGTCTCTATGTTTAATTTTGTCTTTCCTCTTCCTTGCCATTTGATCAATTGATACGTATGTTTCCCAAGTCTTGCATAGCTCTGATTAAAATGCCTGGCAATTTTCATCACAGCTTCTGCAGCTATTCTCTGCTTTAGGGAACTTGCCTTAGAAATTATAGTCACGACTTAAACATCTTTGACCCTTTGTACAAATTGTCAGGACATTTGGATGGGTACAGGGTTTAGTTTTATCTGGATGTGATGATGTTTGTTGCCAGCGACTTTATGTATTATGATTACGCCTTTTCTTTTGTTCTGTTTCTTTTAATCTTTGTGCTAGTGCTATCGGTGTTTGTTTTCAAACTCATCGATTCCGTCTGTGATCAAGGAGTCAAAACATATATTTTTCTCTTACTAGATTCATTGATTATGTCTCATCCCTATCAGGTTGATAACCTATAGTTCTCTAACTTTCAACTGAACATAGTCCAGGCATCCACTCAGTACTTTGATCACATGCCGTTTCTTTTTCAAATTAGTTGTTTATTCATATTGTATGTTTTGTGTCCTGCAGATATTGTGCAGACAATCCAGGTCTTTTCAAAAATGCTGATACTGCATATGTTCTTGCATATGCTGTTATAATGTTGAACACTGATGCACATAATCCAATGGTGTGGCCAAAAATGTCTAAGTCGGATTTTGTACGAATGAATGCCATAAATGATGCTGAAGCTTGTGCCCCAGCAGATCTACTGGAAGAGATATATGATTCGATTGTCAAGGAAGAGATAAAACTGAAAGATGATGCATCTGGGATTGGGAAAAACAGCAAACAAAAACCAGAAGGTGAAGAGAGAGGTGGCCTTGTTAGTATTCTCAATCTTGCTCTTCCCAAACAAAAGTCATCGATTGATGCCAAGTCTGAGAATGAAGCTATCATTAGGCAAACACAGGCAATATTCCGGAAGCAAGGAGTAAGAAGAGGAGTGTTCCATACAGTACGACAGATTGAAATTGTAAGGCCCATGGTTGAAGCTGTAGGATGGCCTTTGCTTGCTACTTTCTCTGTCACTATGGAGGAAGGTGAAAATAAGCCAAGGGTTGTTCTCTGCATGGAGGGATTTAAAGCTGGAATCCACATTACACATGTTCTGGGAATGGATACCATGCGCTATGCTTTTTTAACATCTCTGGTCCGGTAAGATCCATTTTACCATCATTTTTCTTATTGTTTATTATTTATTTATTTATATATTGCTCATTTCTATCATAACAGTTGCTCTTTTACTTTCTACATCAACATTTATTTTTGTTTTCTTACTTGGGAAGTTTATAGGGCCAGTATGTTTTTAACTTTACTTCATGGCCAGTATGTTTAACTTCACTTCATGGAAGCACAGTTGAACCTTTTTCATCATTAGATTAAAGGTAGCTGATCATGGTATTTAAGCATCTGAATTTATATGTCAGATTTACCTTCTTGCATGCCCCAAAGGAAATGCGTAGTAAAAATGTGGAAGCTTTGCGGACTCTGCTTGCTCTATGTGACTCAGAAACTGATTCCCTTCAAGACACATGGAATGCAGTTTTGGAATGTGTTTCTCGGCTTGAATACATCACTTCAACTCCTGCTATTGCAGCAACTGTCATGCATGGATCAAATCAAATTTCCAGGGATGCTGTTCTTCAATCCTTAAGAGAATTGGCTGGGAAACCTGCTGAAAAAGTTTTTGTCAATAGTGTTAAATTACCCAGTGATTCAGTTGTAGAGTTCTTCAATGCTCTCTGTGGTGTTTCAGCAGAAGAACTAAGACAGACTCCTGCTCGTGTATTTAGTTTGCAAAAGCTTGTTGAGATCAGCTATTACAATATGGCTCGTATACGCATGGTATTCTTTTTGTTCATTTAAATTCCTTTATCCATTTATTTTGGTGAGTGGTTATTTATCAAGGTGGATGTGGCTACTTATTGTTTTATGGTAAATTGGCCCATTACATATAAATGGTTTAATTAATTCTTGTTTTTCTATCTAGTTCCACGTTATTTTCTTTTTTAAGAAATGGGATTACTGAGTGGAAACTTGCTAGCAGATCAGAGATGGTTCCTTGCTGTAGGGAGGCACATGGTCCTCAGTATAGGGCTCACTTGCCACAAGTTAACATGCTTTTCAATTAAGCAAGAATGAAATTGAGATTCAAATAAGGACAAGGTCCCCCCTCAAGCTCAGCTGCTCCTGTTTTCTGTTAAGTGATAGATCCTACTCCTGGGGCAGTAAAAACTCCAAATGCTGGAACCCCATAGATTCAATAAAGTAGACATTTTATGGTTATGAAAGTAGACATTTTATGGTTATGATTGGTGAGAACTTGAACATTTTTGAATGTAGTGTACACACATGACTTTTCACTGTCAACTTATGAAGGCGAAACATTAGTCTGCAGATTCCATAAGCAAGCTAAATATTACATATGGTGGGTCAGTCGATGTATTTAGAATGGCTAGCTATTGTGTTGAATTTGTAAATTGCTAATGAGAAGTTTGCCTCCATGGACTTTTCAATGTTGAGCTGTGTAGTTTTTATTTTACTGGTGAATATTCATGAATGCACGCTGTTCAACAATAATTTCTTGCATGCAGCATCAATTACATTTTGATTTTTTACAGGTTTTTTTTTTTTTTTTTTTTTTTTTTTTTTTTCAGGTCTGGGCTCGAATATGGTCTGTTCTGGCAAATCACTTTATTTCTGCTGGGAGTCATCACGATGAGAAAATTTCCATGTATGCCATAGATTCTCTAAGGCAGCTTGGCATGAAGTATTTGGAGCGTGCTGAGCTTACCAATTTCACTTTCCAGAATGACATTCTCAAACCCTTTGTTGTTCTTATGCGGAATAGTCAAAGTCAATCCATAAGGAGGCTAATTGTTGATTGCATTGTTCAAGTGTGTGCTTAGCTTTACTGGACCTAATTTTTTGGAATAATACTCTTGAGAATTACTATAAGCTATCACACCTTCCAATTATAATTAATTGCCTGAAATCTGTTGCAGATGATCAAATCTAAAGTTGGAAGCATAAAGTCTGGGTGGCACAGTGTTTTTATGATTTTCACTGCTGCTGCTGATGATGAACTGGAATCAATTGTTGAAAGTGCATTTGAAAACGTTGAACAGGGTAGGCAAGGCCTTTTTCTTCTTCTTTCCGTTATACTACCTTGATTTGTTCATGCTATTTCTCATCTTTGTCAATTAAGCATATCTAATTCAATGGAACATTTGCAGTTATCTTGGAACACTTTGATCAGGTTGTTGGAGATTGTTTTATGGACTGTGTAAACTGTCTTATAAGATTTGCCAATAATAAAACTTCTCACCGTATAAGTTTGAAGGCTATTGCACTTCTCCGCATATGTGAGGACCGTCTGGCAGAGGTTTGTTATATGTCTTTGCTAATCACATCTTTTCCTACAATTCTGTATTTCTCCTAGCCATAAGCTTCTGTTATATGTCCAGGATAAGTTTGTCCTATTATATATATGGAAGTTAGATAAAGTTCTCCCTATGTTTGTAAAGTTTATGACAATGCTGTATAATTAATGCAAACTTGTCTTGTTTGGCATGAGATTTATTATCTCCAATTATTTGATTGCTTTGTTAGCTAAATATTCTTCCACTACTGTTTCTGAATGTTTTGCCAAATTTTAGGGCCTTATACCTGGTGGTGCTTTGAAGCCTATTGATATTTCTGTTGATGCAAATTTTGATGTCACTGAGCATTATTGGTTCCCAATGCTAGCTGGTTTATCTGATTTGACATCAGATCTAAGACCTGAGGTCCGAAGCTGTGCACTAGAAGTTTTGTTTGATTTGCTAAATGAGAGAGGTAGCAAGTTCTCGTCATCATTTTGGGAGAGCATTTTCCATCGTGTCTTGTTCCCCATTTTTGATCATGTTAGACATGCTGGAAAGGAAAGCTTAATCTCTTCTGATGATGAGTTGTTTCGAGAAACCAGCATTCATTCACTTCAGTTGCTGTGCAATCTTTTTAACACTTTCTATAAGGTACTAATGACCTTTTTTGTTTTCTCTCTGCTTCATTCTCCTCTTATTTATTAGGACTATTGCTTCCATAAGTATTTTTGGTAGGGATCTCTTTTATTTCAAGGCTATACTTTCAAACCTTATAATGCCTAATCTCCTCAAGGGTTTGTGATAACCTTGCTTGGGTGAATTCCTGGAATTGGACCTTAATTCTTGGCATTCTATCTTGTGCACTTTAATGAGAAATCTCTTTTGCAATTTGAAAATAAAAAACATAGCATGCCAATATGTTGACATCATGTGCGATGAATCATAAAGTTTGAATATTGAAAGAAGTTGTAATATGCGGAATTATCTCTCTCATATATTCTAATGATATATATAAGATACAAGGACCTATATATGGTGAATAGAATCATATATACAGCTGTGTGTATATTCCTAATTTAAGTGGAAACTATACATGAAATAAACAGAATAGAAATAGGAAAGAATATAGCTCATTCCGCTAACTCTTCCTCTCAAGTTAGGGTGTAGATGTCGCACATGCTCACCTTGGATAGTGAAGTATAGAATGGTCCACTAGCAGCAGCATGAGTCGTAATGTCAGCCAACTGATCTGAACTTCTAGTATAAGAAATCTCTATTGTGCCAAAATCGAGATTATCTTTGATATAGTTCTTGTCAACTTCAACTAGCTTAGTTCAATCATGTTGTACTGGATTATTAGCAATCTCAATAGTTGCTTTATTATCACAAAATAGCACCATAGGCCTTTTTGGACTAAACCCGAGTTCCTTTAAGAGAATTTTCAACCAAGAAAGTTCAGTGATTGTATGATGCATAGCACGATATTCAACTTCTACACTAGATAATAAAACAACATTATGTTTTGTACTTCTCCAACTCACCAAGATGCCTCCAACAAACGACAAATATCCGGAAGTAGATTTTCTATCCAATCTACTAGCAGCAAAATTAATCTGTATAACCCACAGCATCAAGATGTCCATGTTTGGAGGATAATACACTTTTATCTGGAGCTGATTTTAAGTAAGATAGAATTCAGTTCACACCATTCATGTGTTGATCACTTGGATTGTGCATAAATTGACTCACAGTGCTAACTGCATATGCTAAATTCGGCCTTGTGTGAGTTAAATAGATCAACTTTCCCACTATCCTTTGATATCTCTCCTTGTTTGTTGGAATTTGATTAGGATAAATAGACAGGCCATGATTCACCTCAATGGGAGTATCTATGGGCTCACAGGCAGAGTTACCAATTTTAGCTAGGAGATCCAGAGTATACTTCTTTTGGAAAGAAATAGGCCTAGCTTAGATCTTGAGACTTCAATGCCTAGGAAGTATTTGAGAAGCCCCAAATCCTTTATCTCGAATTCTTTGGTCAAATATCTTCAAAGTTTCTCAATCTCATCTCTGTTATTACCTGTTACAATCATATCATTAACATAAATAAGAAGCAAGGTAATATCATTATGATCATGTTTATAGAATAAGGTATGATTTGTCAAGGCTTGCTTGAATTTGTACTCCTTCATTGCATGATTCAATCTCCCAAACCATGTCCTTGGTAATTGTTTTAATCCATACAATGTCTTTTTTAGTTTGCATACCTTTCCTTCTTCCAATGTAAATCTTGGAGGTGGATCGATAAATACTTCCTATGTTAGATCACCATGAAGGAGTATCTTTCCACCGTCCCATCTAGCTTGTATTTGACAATGTACACCCATTTGCACCCCACAATTTTCTTTCCCATAGGTAACTTGAATATTTCCCAAGTAGAATTCTTTTGGAGAGCCATCATTTCTTCTACCATTGCTTTCTTCTGCTTAGGATTTTCAAGGGCTTCTTGAAATGACTAGGAATAGGTACAGAAGATGACTGAAGGGCAAATGTTAAATTAGTTTTAGACAAATAGTGATAGGATATAAAGTCAGAGATTGGGTAAACAACATTAGAGGTTTTGGAGAGACCGAATCTATCAGTTGTTTTTCTTTCAACGAAGAGGGTATCTCCTATTCTAATCAATATTAGAATTGAGATTGGAATTTTTGGGAGATTAGAAGAATATATAAATGCCTCAGTATTAGTCTTAGAAGATTCATCCGATGGCCTGGTAGCATCATCAAGGGAGGTACTAGAATTTGGAGGCAGAACAGTGATGTCTTCCTTTCTCCTCGAATAAGCCTTATCAAAGAAACGAGCTGGTCTATCAAGCCTCTCATCATCTGATTCAATTTTATTTTCCTCAACAGACGGATCATCTAAAACTAAAGATTCCCTATTTGCTTTAATGTTATCTGTAGTTGAGGTCCATATATACTTTCTCCCAACCATAGTTGTTTTTCTTCTTTGCTACCAATCTCCCCCTTAAGAGGAACCATAGATATATCTTCAGAAAAATAACTCATTTTCACAGAATTGAACATCCATCGACACATAACTGGTTCCTGTAGGAGGATCAAAACATCTATATCCTTTTTGTGAATTAGAATAGGCAAGAAAAACACATTTGATAGCACGAGGATCAAGTTTATTTCTATGAAGATAATGAACATGAACATAGCATAATAGCCAAGGAAAACACATTAGATAGCACGAGGACCAAGTTTATATATATGAAGAGAATGAACATGAACATAACATAAACAACCAAAAATCGTAAGACAAATATTAAGAGTAGATAAAATAGGATGAAATCTGGATAACATCCTTAAAAGGAGTTTGAAATCAAGAATTCTATCAGGCATTCGATTGATAAGAAAAATAGTAGTCATGACAGCTTCAGTCCAAAAACGTTTTGAAACGCGCCTAGTAAAATAAGGCTCGAGCCATTTCAAGGATATGGTGATTCTTACGTTCTGCTATGTTATTTTGTTGGAGTGTGTAAACACAAGTTGTTTGGGAAAGAATGTCATGTTGTGTCATGAACCTAGCAAGAGATTGATTCACAAACTCACGATCATTGACAGAATGAAATTTTAATTTTAGTGTTAAATTGGGTGAGAATCATGTTGTAAAATTGAGGAATAATGTGGAAACATCACTCTTAAATTTCATCAAATATACCCAATTGACCTTAGTACGATTATCAATAAAAGAGAATATTTATGTCCTGAAGTAGGAGTGAAATGACCTCACATATCAGTATGAACACATGAAAAGGAATAGTATTTTTATTAAAATTGTCTTTAAAAGGAACATGATGGTTTTTAGCATAAATGCATGCTTACATTTTAAACTAGAAACAAAAATTTGGGAAAATAATTGAGGAAACAATTGTTCTAAATAAGAGAAATATGGATGTCCCAACCGACAATGCCAAAGCATAATTCTCTCTCTATTAGATTTTTCTCCCTCTGTTAGGAAGCCACAAGTAGGTGTTGCTATGCCTCGATTGTCCTTCAAATAATACAGACCATCCCTCTCCTTACCAGTGCCTATCGTTATCTTCAAAAGATTGTCTTGAAACACACAACGACTAGAATGGAAATGACAAATAATTGAGATTCTTTGTTATCTTGCTAATGGAAAGAAGGTTGCTTGAAAGTCTAGGTGTAAGTAGAACAGAGGACATAGAAAATGTCGGGGAGAGAGACATTTCCCACCCTTGCGATCGGCATAGAGTTCCCATTAGCAATGTGTACAGACTCAATTGGTGGAGATGTTAGACAATCAAGGATAGAAGAGTTATTAGTCATATGGTCAATGGCCCTTGAATCAATAATCCAAGTATTAGGACAAGTAGAAATAATGGATAAACCAAAACTACCTTCTTGGGAAGATATTCGAGATACATGAGAAGCAGAAGATGGAGTAGTATCTACGGCAATAGCATTCTGAGTAGCACTTTTGTTTTTCCTCTGAGCTTGCTCGAGTTAATGCCATTCTAGATAGCCATGCTTCTTCCAGCAAATATCCACTGTATTTGTATTCTTATGACGGTGCATGCAAAATCGAGATGAAGAAGCTGTAGAAGTGCTCTTTTGGGTAGTTAGAGCTCAAGCTTCGGAGTGGATTTCTGCCCCATGGTAACCTGTCATTGAACTTCTCAACAAACCAAGGAATAGGCTTCTTCTAATCTTGGTAGAGGAGAAGAAGCTAGAACATGGCTACTAACTTGACCTAAATTATGATCAAGGCTAGCTAGAAAGATATAGAACTTGTCTTTTGCCATACATTTGCTGTATTTTTCAATATCAGCAGCACAGGTCATATCATTTGGCCTTTGGTAATCAATCTTCATAAAAATTGAGTTTAATTCATTGTAATATTCTGCTAGAGGCTGGCCTCCTTGACGTGATTGGAAAGACTTCTTCATGAGTTCATGAACTTGAGAAGAATCAGATACATCAAGATAGCTTTTTTTCACAGCATCCTAGACTCCTTTTGCTTTGCCACACTGCACAAAGTGTGACATTAGATTATCGCTCATTGAATTAATGAGCTAAGATTTGACTAGTGCATCTTTGGCCTCCCATTCATCATAGCTTGGATCATCTTCTGTTGGTGCAACCTTTTTTTCAATGATATAGCCCTTTGTTTTCCTTCCTGCAATATGCATATCCAGGATCTTAGATCAGACCTGATAGTTAGCACCATCCAATTTAATACTGATGGATGAAGGAGCATCATGATTGGTTATGGTGGAGGTTTTCCTGCTGTTAGTATTTGCAACCTCTGGTTTGGTAGACATACTATGGTGCGGCTAGTGTTTTAGGGAAGGAGGAGCAGCAGCTAGGGTTTATGCAGAAGAAGAAAGGAGTAGCTGCTGCTTGGGTTTTGTAAAAATTATACAAGGCTCTGATACCAAGTTGGTAATATGCAGAATTATTATTCTTTCATATATTCTAATGATATATATACAAGATACAAGGACCTATATATGGTAAATAGATCATACATGTATATGTGTGTATATTCTTAATTTAAGAGGAAACTATACAAGAAATATACAGAATAGAAAATAGGAAAGAATACAGCTTGATCATGCTACAAATTAAGTATGTTTTTGAGTATTATTGGAAAAAGTCATCATAGAGGATGATAACATGAAATGACTTCATAGCTCTTCAACTCGATGCACTTGATCTTGTTTTGTTACTTCTTGATAAATTTTATATATTCTGAACGGACTATGAATGTTTTGCATTTCCGATGCTATCACTTGAATAATAGAGTAGAGAGTTATGATTGTCATTGATCTATGGAAATTATTACCATAACTCTTCTTATTATGTAGGAAGTGTGTTTCATGCTGCCACCACTTTTGGGTTTGCTTTTAGATTGCGCAAAAAAGACTGATCAGACAGTGGTTTCCATCTCTCTTGGTGCATTAGTACACCTTATAGAAGTTGGAGGCCACCAGTTCAGTGAGAGTGACTGGGATACTTTGTTGAAAAGCATAAGGTGCATTTCTTATTATCTGGGTTATTTGATGATGCGTAAACCTTATATAATGTCTACCAACTAATCAGCTTTTTATTTTTATTTTATTTATTTATCGACGCCAGAGATGCTTCCTACACAACGCAACCACTTGAGCTGCTCAATGCTTTGGGTTTTGAAGGGCCTACAGTGCTAGTTACAGATTCAGAGGTTAACACAGATAACCATCAGATTGATGTCAGTGATAATGGACATGCATCTCCACTGCCATCGCCAAATATCAGTGCTCATGGCACTAGAGGGAATCAAAATGCAATGGTCTTGCTGGATCACAACCAAGAATTTGGATTGCAAAGTAATTTGGAAGGGTCAGAAGGTTAGTTTGTCTTATGTTTTATTTATTTATTTATTTTTTCTCAAGTAAAAATATAGGTTAGAAACAAAGTGCATTATACAAGAACTGCTCCTTGTGCAAGCTAGAGAAGAAGAGGGAATAAAAGAGGAAGTGAAAGTGAAAGGATATACTACAAAACTAAGAAACTAGCTACGGAGGTTAAGTGAGGACATAAATTCCTTAGAGGGATAGATTTAAGTAACAGAGAGATGAAATTAGATTCAGAGATAAACAATAAACCATGTTGTCTGTAGTATTTGGTGGTTCAGTCCGCTTTATACCATTGCCAGCACACCCAAAGCCAGTTATTGAAATGTGTACTATTGGTTCAGTCCGCTTTATACAATTTTACCAGCACAGCCAAAGCCAGTTATTGAAATGTGTACTATCACAATAGTTAAAAGCTGAATATGTTTATTCTTGTAGGCCTACCATCACCTTCAGGAAGAGCCCAAAAACCTGCTGAAGGTGTTCAAAGGAGTCAGACTATAGGTCAAAGGATCATGGAGAACATGATGGACAATCTGTTTCTCAGAAGTTTTACCTCCAAAACCAAGGCTCGTGTTTCTGATGCCTCAGCACCATCTTCTCCTATCAAGGTGGTACTCCTTTTTTCCAATCGATCACTAAACAGCTGTTTGAAAATGTAGCTCCTTAATCAAGATCTGTAGCAAATATTTTTTGAGTTTTGTATCTCTGATATGTTTTTTCCTTTTGACTTTTTTTTTTTCATGATTAATTCGAGGATTTATGGGAGAAGATATTTGCTTTGAATAAAGATTTAAAGGAACAACCCAATTCTTTTTAGGTGTTTCCAATCATTATATACCGTTTTTGCTTGCTGTTTATACTAGCCATTGAATTTTCAAGTAACAAATTCTTATCTAAAGCCAGCCAAATGAAACATCAAATGGAAATCTTGTTATACCATTTTGTATTTCTTTGAGATACAATGCACTCTAAATATTTTCCATTTCCCTTATTCTCTGTTCTTTGTTTGGTGCTTTTGTAGATTCCAGATGCTGTGGAGCCTGATGCCAAAGAGGAGGTGGAAAGTCCACTTATGGCAACTGTAAGGGGCAAGTGCATCACTCAGTTATTACTTCTTGGTGCTATTGATAGTATTCAGGTATAATCTTTTTCTAATTTTGATGTATGAACTCTATTCTTTATTCCTTTCCCTTCTGACAGAGCATTCCAGATCTGTCTTATGTCCAACTTAATTTGTTCTTATGTACATTCGGAAAGCCAGTTTCTTCAAGCCATAAAAATCTGTTAGGACAAATGCTAATTCTCTGAATCACATTGTTTCACCTATGCTGTTTTCTTTTTGGATGTTCTGATCTTCTTTGGTGCATCTTAAGGTGTAGGGAAGACTAGAAGAGAGAAGTTTGCTTTGTGACAAATGTTTTTTCCATTTTAATCATGGTCTTTTCTTAAAATTTGCAGAAGAAGTATTGGAGCAAATTGAGAGCATCCCAAAAGATTGCTATAATGGATGTTTTATTGTCCATGTTAGAGTTTGCAGCTTCATATAATTCGTATTCGAATCTCAAAATGCGTATGTACCATATTCCTGTTGAGAGGTGGGAAATAGTTTCTTGCTGGAATTTATTTCTCTTCTTGTTTCTCTTGCATTAGTGTTATTGATCTAGGCACTGGAAACGCTGAATACTAGTTTGTCTTTGTGCAGGCCTCCTTTAAATCTTCTTCGACAAGAATTAGCAGGAACTAGCATTTATCTAGATGTGTTGCAGAAAACAACTTCAAGTTTTGATGCCATCAATGAGAAACAGCAGCAATCTAATGTTGATGTTGCTTCAGTGCACAACGATTCAAGCTTTACTGGACATTCTAGTGAGGAAGAGAAACTTGAAGGAGTGGCAGAAGAGAAATTGGTTTCTTTCTGTGAACAGGTACTCAGGGAAGCATCTGACCTTCAATCCAGTGTAGGGGAGACTACTAACATGGATGTTCATCGAGTCCTTGAGTTGCGTTCTCCAGTCATTGTTAAGGTACGAAACCTCTCTCCTATTTGTTTCTGATATGTTATTAAATACATAACATGCTGCAAGAGCTGATTTAGCTCATGTTCATCTATACGAAATATTGCCTATTTTCTCCACTTGATGTTGCAACTTTGTAGGATAAATTCTTGAGTTTCATTCCATCTGATTGCACATCCCGGTGTTGGTAATAATGTGCTTCACAGATCTTTCTATTGTATATATTGTGTATGCCGCTAGGGTTCTTTCTTTTTTACTTTTACCCCGCATTCTCTTCCTCCAGTGCCTTCCTTTTTCTTTTTTCTTTTTCCTCAGTGTAATGGCAAAAATTGCCTCCTTTCTATTGCAATTTGACAATTTCAGGTTTTTATTATCAATTTGCATAATTTGAACCTCAAAATATCAGTTTTTGGGTAAATCTTATCCAAATTCGTTAATTGTAATAGTCAACTAGATTGATTGTTAATTTTTTGTTTTAATGTTAAAAATGTTTTTCTTTCATTTTTCAATAGATTCTTTCTATTTAAAATTTTCACATATTAATATCTTTGCTTTTTCTTAATCAATCATATTGTTATTTGTATATAATTTTTTTTCAATTTAAAAAAAAACTTTTATTTAGTATCATTATCTATTAAAATAATCAATTTCTATAATTAATAAAATACAAATATCTATTGGTTGAATTTGATCAATTAAAATTAACAAATAATTAATTTTAATTGAAACTTTTCTTTTATTTTGTCATTAAATTTAATTTTGTGATTGTCAATCATTAAATTTTAAATATAGACGTATTTATTTAATATTTTTTTTATCTTTACATATTTTATAGGATTTTTTCTCACAATTGATTCAAATATATAATATGCATTTAAAATTGTTAAGAATGAGAGAACCATTTTTTTAAAAAAACTTTTATAATTTTATTTTATTTTTAGTTTGTTAAAAATAGGTTCAAAAAGTGAAAACTTTTTTTTAGGGAGAACTAAAAAAAGTGTTTAGCGATAAATTTAATAAATTATTTATTTATTTATAGGTAAATGGGTGGAAAACAAATCTTGAAAAAAGATGGAAAAGTATTCTTATGATTTTTTTTTTTTTTAAAAAAAATTAATAGCAAAAAAAAATAACAACAGAAAAAAATAGACAAAGGTCAAGTAGGTTGATTGTGAGAATTAACGAATTTGGATAAGATTTGCTCAAAAACCAATATTTTGATATTCAAATTATGTAAATTAGTAATAAAAACCTGAATTAAATTTATTCTTGTGATTGTCAATCATTAAATTATAAATATAGATGTATTTATTTCATATTTTTTTATCTTCACATATTTTATAGGATTTTTTTTCTCACAATTGATTAAAATATATAATATGCATTTAAAATTGTTAAGAATGAGAAAATCATTTTTTTAAAACTTTTCTGATTTTATTTTAGGTTCAAAAAGTGAAAACTCTTTTTTAGGGAGAACTAAAAAAAATTTTAGTGATAAATTTAATATATATTTTTTTTTCTGTTTAGGATTTGTTTGAGCAATCTGAATTTTCCTTATTAATAACACGTGCCCATGCACATGCATGATGAAAGTAGGGAGGTAGGGGGATGACGCTCTGAATCTCTAATAGTATTCCCTTTGATTGTGTGTACTAACTATGCATACATTTTAATGTTTTATTTTGTTATTTGAAGGTGATAATCTTTTTTCTGCCATCAAAGTGGGGTGGTGGTTTGAAAATATGAATAAGTTTGCATGGTTCTCTTTAAATTGCACTGGTCACTGGGAGTTTTACCACTTTTTTTCAGGTTCTCAAGGGCATGTGCTTTATGAACAATAAGATTTTCAGAAGACACCTGAGAGAGTTCTATCCTTTGCTTACAAAACTTGTTTGCTGTGATCAGGTATCTTGAGTCAAAAAATATTTAGCACTGGAAGTTATTTTGAAGATCTTATTTTAATTTCTCTATCATATGGAACAGTTTTTCTTCATCCATGTCCATCAGTTTGCATGATGCTTAATGTGATTGTTTTTAATTGCGTTGCCTGCATTTTTATAAAGTTTAGAATCTTGGCATCGACTCGAAACTAATTAGCTATCCATTTTCTTTAGATGGATGTTCGTGGGGCACTCGGTGTTCTTTTCAGGGTGCAGCTGAAAGCCTTGCTACCGTAGTGGTTTTGTAAGTGTCCCTTAGTATTCTCTGGATGAATTATTTTCAGCAAGGCAGCAAATTCGAAGTCTGATTATCTTAATGTTCAGCTAATTTTCTGGCACTCAGTCCATGCCTTCTAATTTAAAGTATACCACTGTTTTCTTAGATTCTTCCTTTTCTTAAAACAAATATATATGTTGTGACCTGAGTTTCAAGCATAACAAATAGAAGGTACGGAGAGTAAGAAGATATAGTGATCGACTTTTCATTCTTTTTGTACCATTTTTTGCCTGTGATATAACTGAAATTATGCTATGATGTTATTCTAGAAATGAGAATCAGCATTATGTCTGCTTAATGTAACCTGTGCACCAATCGCTTCTTTATTATTATTATTTTTATTTGGCTATCCGACCTTTCCTTTTTAGTAGGACTATCCAATTTCGATTGTCTTTTGAATGCAGAACCTTTTTCTTTCATTTTTTTTCCAGACTTGAAAGAATATCCAAACTATGTTTTTCATTTCCTGGGACCCTAATTAAGGGACCAAATCTGAAGGAAAAATGAAATGATTAAAGATTTATCAAGTTAATATTGATCCTAACTGGCTAGGAAAAGATTAGGAGGAAACAACCGTTGTATATATACAGTGGTCTTATGGCTTGCTTTTTGATACGAGCAGACAGGATTGGAAGAGGAATGGGTGGTGAAAAGATGTATGCGAGGTTGGGGATTTACCAATTAGAGATGTAATTGGGTAGGTTAATGTTGGGCCGGATCTTAAAAATAATGTTGCTATGGGTTTATTCCGTATGTAGGCCTTCAGCCATAATCATGTTGGTTAGATGTTATCGTCCATTAGGTATGGTACTATAACAAAGGAAAAACAAATAGAGGAATACAAAAAGGTTTGGTTATTGTTTAATTATGCGTTTTCTTTCTCTTACAAAGGACTGTCTATCTATAATAATAATAATAATAATAAATTAAATGGCCAAAATGTATACATTTTATATTCAACTGACACTCTACTTTCTTATATATCATTTTAAAAGTTGTTTTCTTTGAGAATAGAATAGAACTTTGTATATGATAATTATTTTGGTACTTACCATAATAGAGATTACTTATATTATGGAAAATAAAAAATTTCTAGCATAAAAAAAAAAAAAAAATTTAAATCAAATTTATGGCACTAAAATATTCTTAAAAGTATGATATTCTCTTCCTAAATGATGAAAATATCATATTACAAATACTCAATATAAATTCAGAAAACATTCCTTAAGAAGAAATTACTAATTTATTACCCAACCCACCCCCCCCCCCCCCCCCCCCCTTTTTCTTCTTTTTCTCCTTAGCTTAAGGGAAAAGGAAATAGAGAAGAAAAAATACTTTTTTTTAATTACCATAAAAAAAATTACTTATGAATCAACTGATCCCATAGGATTATTATAAATAAGTCAAATTTCTTTGATCCATTCCCAAAAATCTTGCATTACAAATAAAAATATTGCATAAAATTTTCATTAGTTAATCCTTCTTTTATTGAGTCATATCAGTATTCACGATATTAATATCACCTGCTCCATCAAATATTAATTGGTTGAATGATTGTAGGAGTTTTTCTCTATTTATTTATTTATTTTTATTTATTTTTTTGTCTTAAGTTTGTCTATCTAACTTTGGTTTCTATATTAATTGTGTCTTTCAGTTAATTTTTTTAACAGTATTAAATCACACTATTAATACTACAAAATTGAGACGTGTTATCTCGCATCTCTACTATTTTTTTTTTAATTGAATATAAATAAATACTTTTAAAAAAATTGAATATAAATAAACACTTTAAAAAAAATTAAAAAAAGTGAAGATCTATCCGGTTTAATCACTTTTGAGTAATTATTACCAAAAATATTTTAACAAAATTTCCCACTTTTGAGTCAAATTAAGAAATTTGTAAAATAAAAATAAATAAATTATAATAGACTCTTTTAAGGTGTTATAAAATTATAAATGCCATTCAAAAATTTAAATTTTAACAAAAACTATCTTGATATTTCATATATATATATATATATATATATATATATATATATATATATATATATATATATATACTCAAAATTTGCTTACTATCATAGAGATAAATTTAAATCCATAGAGAATATTTTGGATAATTTTGTTGTCACCTTTTTATTTATTTATTTTTTCTAGTTTTTAAAGAGAATGAACAAATGTATTTGAATTTTTTTTTTAAACTCTTCAAATAATATAAAACTATAAATAATATTCAAAATTTTAAAAATTCAACTAAAAATATCCCGATAATTTTTAAAAAATACCATAAATATTTTATTTTATACCGAAAATTTACTTACTATCATAGAGATAAATTTAAACCCATAATGAATTTTTTGGACATTTTTTTTTAATCTTCACCTTTTTTTCAGTTTCCTTTTAAAATTAATTTATTTAAATTCGCTAAAAAAATAAATAGGAGAATAGTTAGACATGATTAAGACAAAAAAAAAAAAAAAAAGAAGCAAAGTTGACATGTGTCGCAATCTTGAGGTGCTAACAATGCAATTTAACACCGTTCTTTCAAAATGTTAACTCGTTAGTGCGAGTGCTCAAGATCGAACCATGTTTGGATGGACTTGAGTTATTATATTATTATATCGTTTATTTTAATAATAATAAAAGAATTTTTTCTATTAATTCTTATATTTTTATGTTTATTAATTCAATAGAATTAGATAGAAGTCCATATGATATGCATTTGCAATAGTGGTTAATCAAAAGATGTGAGACAAGCACTAATGCATATAAATGATATCATTAAACGTCCCAAGTCGTAGCATTGTCAAAATGAACTTTGACTATATGCGATTAGACTTGTGAGTGTTATGCTCATGCTATATGATAGCGAGTAGGAGATCTCACACTTATTGGCATGATGATGCCAAAGCAAGTACTTAGGTGATTTATGTTAGAGAACATATCACTAGACATGACTCGCCATGAGAACTCATTTGGTTTAATTTACGAGAATCTTATACGAGATGGGTACAAGTGGTCCTTAGACTTGAAGCCATAACGATTATCTTATTAGAGCATTTATACACTTTGACACTCGGTTTTAATAGACCTAATAAAGAGTTACACGTAGGTGATTCTTTGGGTGCACTAGGAATCTAATGGAGGTAGGTATATGGCTAAGATAGGACATATCATTCCTTATATGCTAAAGGAGTTATCACATTGTACTTCGATGAATGTCTACTCAAGAAATCTATAGCCATAGTAAGAGTACACCAATAGAGCATAGTTGGTTTACTCTAAAAGCTAAGACATTTGAAAATCGAAGAAAACTTGTGTGATCACAATCAAATAAGACTTATAACTAAGTTTGAGATCACACTATGATAAATTGACATGAGGATTGAATTGTATAGTAACCATGCTTATAATGGATTAATTGAAAATCGAAGAAAACTTGTGTGATCACAATTGAGCAAGACTTATAATTAAGTTTGAGATCACATTATGATAAATTAATATGAAGATTGAATTGTATGGCAACTATGCTTATAATGGATTAATTAATCCTCTTAAAGAATTGGGTAGTCATGATGCCTTGCTAGAGGCCAATTTTGATTTATGTATCAAGAGATAAAAGATGAGTCTTTTGTTCTTGATACATTGCTAACATATCTAGGAGCATATTGAGTCACACATATAAGTTTAAGTATTCATATGATTAAAGAAAAGAAAAGACATTGGAAAACGTTTTCAATTTTGAAAGTATCCTATTTTGGAAAAGGTTTTCAATAATGGAAAGTTTCCTAAAATGGAAAGTTTTATATTTTAGAAATCGAGTTTCTTACTTTCGAAGTTGTTCCAAATTTGGAGGTAAATAACCTAAAACGGAAATGAGTTTCCTAATTTTGGTTAAAGAGTAGTTTGAAAAATTGTTTCATAATATTGGTCGCCTAAAATTATCTAAGATTATTTATTTGGATAGTCCAAATAAATTAATTGGGCTAGAATGGTTTTAGCTCAATGAGTTTAATTAAAAACCTTAAGATAGTTTGTTGGGAGGATGAACATCAACCCTATTGGATAATGATGAATATTTTAAGGATAAACATCAAGTTTATTGGATAAGAATGAATGTTTAAAAATAAAGATAAAAAAGCTAACATATAAAATAACTCCTAATCCTTGGAGGATTATGAAGCAACAACCTAGAGTCATTAAGGGACTCATTGCCACCCCTCTTTATCCTTAAAGAACAAGGAAGTCTTTCCTATAAATATATGGGAGAGATAGGTACGGCACACATAAGAAAAAGAGAGAATTTTTAGGAAAGGAAATTTGACCAATAAAGAAAAATAAAAGGGACACATGGCTTAAAATAAAAGCTAGGAGAAAATTGTTTTCTCCCTAACCTTAGCACGCCATCTCCTCTTTCATCTCTTTGGGTTGTCGCAAAGCCGACCGGATTAGATTTCTATAGAAAACATTGCATAAATTAGAAAAGTTAGAGCTAGCACTCTACCAATTTTGAGTGCTTCTTTATGGGTGCTTGGGCTGCGTGGATCATAAATAAAGGTTGGACACTTGGACGACTTTTCCGTTAAAAAATTTTGATATGTGTTACAAGAGATAATTCTTTATTCATTGCTTTAATTCATGTATATATATATATAGTTAGTTGATTCAACAACATGATCTTGAGCCCTTTAGATAGAGGAAAATTTTTGTTTATTCTACACCTTCATAGGATGCATGATCCTTCATTAACGAATTGGCACAATTAGAATATATATATATATATATATATATATATATATATATATATATATATATATATATATATATATATATAAACAAAAAAGAGAGAGGGGGATGATAAAAAGAAAAAACAAAAAGAGAGGAATAGAGAGACCCCTACAACCATTAGCCTTAATGAGTCCTAAAAACTCAAATAATAATGAATATTTACATGGCTCTT